ACCAAAGTATTAAAATAAATTTTACCACTGGTTGTTAAATCATCACAAAACTTGGGGGAAGAAAAGGTTGGAAAAAATGCATTACCCCATTTTTACTGCCAATGAAGAAAACAGACTTTTCTCCAATTTCAACTCCATCACCTTCACTTCCATTACTGCCCCGTTTTTCCACTTCAGCTTTTGCGATTTCCCAGAGCGTTTCACTGTAAGAGAGGCAGAAAACCAAAGTTTAGAGAAACAAAAAGAATCCTTCCTAAAATTTATTTCAAGCTCAGAGGAATTTTATTTCAGTCAAATTTGTGAAATAAATCGACATTATCTTGAGGGGACCATAAGCTGATAAAACTTCTGAGGATTAGTCATTTTCTTTGTGCATCAGAGAAACAGGAAAATGATAAACCGAGCCTTTTTCACCCGGATTTGAGGGCTTCCGGGCAAGGCTGAAAGCTGTGTTAGCCTCTCACACACACACACATGAATGTACCATGACTTTTGGAAATGTACAACTTGAAAACCACCAACATCTAGGAAAATGGTGAACGTGCAAAACCAATGTGTCACATAATCTTTGCTCCCTGGAATTCGTTTCTTTGTTTTTAATTATATTTTCTGGCTCAAGATTTCTTTTTTAAAATATAAAGAAAGGGAAAAAAATCACCGAAAATCACTTTGGAAAATCATCCTTTCATTAGTCCACATACATATAATATTTTATACAAATAAGATTATATCTTTTTTTTAAAAGTAAAGCCTAAATGAAATACGGAGTATTGAACTAAAAAAAAAAATGAGCAAGATTTGATATAAGCTCGAATCTGCTACTTTCTACATAAAGTATGCCAAATTGGGCAAGCTACCTAATCTCTCTGGATTCTTCATTCCTTTAGTAATTTAACAAGTATTTATTGAACACTTAATATATGCAAACTTCTGTGCTAGTCCCCAAGCTCATCTCTGTTTCTCCATCTCTAAAATGCTGCTTAAAAAAGAATACCAACTATACAGCATTGTCATGAGTGTTAAAACGTGATAATTCACTTAGGTTAGTGTTTGGCCTATATATAATTACCGAAAATTACCTAAAATTATTGAGTGTTTATCATTATTATCATTAAAGAACCAGGAATAAAAAAGGGAGTTACAAAAAATCAAAATAAGTGACTCTAAATGTTTGCATTAAAATACACACAATTATTTCACAGGTGAGGCCCTCAGCCCGGGCCTGCTTGCTCCTCAATTACACACCATTTCTTCATAATGTGATTATCTGCTTTCCAAGTTCCCAGAAGAAAAGAGGGAAGGACTTACTGTAACCAGTCGTGCCACTGGTGGAAATATTTATAACTGTAACCAATTACATGCTGAATGGAAGCTGACAATTTTTAAGGTTCATAAACTTAATGGAGATCACATCGTGGATCCAGTGTGAGAAAAAAAGACTCAACCTGCTCTATGATGGACTCTCGGACTCCCCTCCTCCCCACCCCCACCTAAGTCCTTATAAGTGGTTCATAAAAGTTTTAGGTATGGTCTTGAGAACTAGTAATTAAAAACTGACATCATATAAGGGAAAAGCTAAATGGTAATAGGTGATTAAAATCCTACCCCAACGCGCCTTTAAATGTCATCTTACATTTTTCGGAGTGCTTTCACAAGTTTCCCCTCATTTATGGTTGTTGTGAACCCCTGCACCCGGAGGGGTGGTCCCAGAGGAAGCGGCTTTGTGGTCTGGCTCACCGCCTGAAACCCAGCTTCTAGAACATTCCGTAGCCCGTGAGAAACTCTTATTTAAGTGAATGATTGGAGTTGAATGATGTTTCAACATCTCTTAACTTTTTCACCTGGGTAACTTTTCCACCTATTTCAAAATCCACATTCTCAAGGATAGTGCCTACGGCCCTTTGACCATCCAGACAAGAGCTGCAAGCAGGGCAGACCCACAATTTACTTCCACCGTCACGCATGGATTCTTACCACCCCACCCCCGCAACTACCTCCAGCCGCCTCTCCTCCTCAACGCCCATCCCTTCCAAGTGGGTTGGGGAAGAGGGGAGGCTCTAGAGGGGAGCGTAAGCCAGGCGCAAGCAGGGTTGTAGAGATGGATACCTGGGCATAGTGGCTTGGCTGCCCCAGGATCGTGGTCGCCGCGTAAGGCCCACTCTAGAATCAACCGGACCGCGAACTCGG